GCTTGGTGTGTGTTACAGACATCTGCCATGGCCCACTTGAAAAGAAAAAAAAAAAAGAAATCATAAATCCCAAACCCAGAGCTGAGCCCGTGGGTTTTCATTCCCATGGTTTTCATGCCAAGGAGCACAGCGCTCCCCGGCAGGGCCGGGCTAACACGATTAGCCAGGCAGATCCACCACCCGCATCCGTCACCCCCAACGCTTGGGCAACTTTGAAAAGTTCAGCAGCTCGACAGGTGAGGCCATGAAACCCGAGCAGGGCAGACAATGTCGTCCCCCCCCCCCAGCGTCGTGCTGGGAAGAACTTGTCACGTGCGTCATATCGGGCAACATGCTTGAAACAGAGCAGTGCACTGAAACCCCAGCAACACGAATAATCTTTGCCATCTGTTTGAACAACTCAACCCTCCTCAGATCTGAAGGAATGATCCCATGCAAACACAAGGGCCTTGCTGACTGATTTTAGCAGCCCAGCCCTTCTTTTTTGGGGCCGTTTTCTTCCCAATGTCGCCCAGCGGTTGAGACACATCGTGGGGAGCGCCTGCAATGGCCAAGGGGGCACTGAGTCCTGTGTAGGTTTGGAGGGGACCACTAAAAGTCCCCACTCACTTAAGCACAGTACAGTGCAAGGCCAATAGTTGATTTTTAATTTTTTTTTTTTTTTTACATCAAGAAAACAAAAATCTCAGAGGCAAAGTTGTTTGGCAAAACCATCCCAGAGAACGCAACTGTCCCTTAGGACACGCTCGTTCCAGCCTAGCGCAGCTCACAGGAAGGCACTGGAGGAACTGGTCTTTGCTCAGATGCTGTCCTTTGCACCCAAAGTCCAGTTGGGAGAAAGAAGGCTGTTCCCAAACTTCCTGGGGCCAACTAAGCTTGTGACACTCAGCGGAAACCAACACGTTGAGTTTTGCAAGCAGCCGGCTGTGCTCGTGCTCCGGGTCCGTGTCCCGCAGGGAAGCGAAGTGGCAGTGGCAATTAAAGAGCAGGGATTAAACCCTCCCCAAAATTGAGATTATAGAGAATGACCAAACACAAGGGCCAAACCCTGCTTTGCTCAAGATTTAGCACAGCAAGGCTTTCACCCTCAACTTTAACCATCATTTCCTGACTCTTCCCTTGCTCATAGCCTGGCCCGTTGCGAGCAGGAGCTCGCACCCCTACACTGTCCTTGGGGAAAAAAGGGAGGCTCCCAGGGAAAAATAAAAAATAAAAAAATGAGGAAGTTTCTGCTGATTCAGGAGATGCTGTGAAGCAGGTCTTTGCACATTAAGGTCCCAAGTGTCATTTAGGTGATTTGGAAGTGTGAGAAAGGCACGTTTGAAGCAGTTTATTGCACACCACCAGACCTTGGGGCCTGATCCTGCTGACCCAAACCACTCAGTCTCACTAAGGAAAATGGACTAAGGCAACTTAGCAAGAGCAAGAAGACAAAGCACCAGCACTTTAAGAATTTTCCATGGGAAAAAAAAAAAAGAAGGAAAAAGGAAAAGAAGTCTCCTTGCTGCACTGCTAGGGACAGAGGAGCTCGGTCTACCCGTGGTGTCGTGGTTACAGCCAGCACAGCCACGGCACAGGGGTTCCAGCAGAGAGCTACAGACTTGAAATATAAATCAGTGATGGTGAGTAGGGCTGGGAACACCCAGCTCAAGGCAGGAGAGACTGGGTATTACAGCCCACTGGGCTGAAAATAATAATAAAAAAAGGAAAAACCCCAAACGTGTAACACTAGTGACACGACCTCTTTTTCTTATGTCAGTTACAGGACAACAGGCTTTCAAGTCCCAAGGACGTTTCAAAATGCATCACTGTTGAATCAATTAAAGAAAATAATAAAAGAAATTCAACAATTGATTTTCTAGGCTTGCAAGAAGTACTTTTTCTCCCCCACCAAGCCCTACGGTAAACCCAAAAGAGAACAACGACATCCCCGCGGGCTGCTCGGCCGGGCAGTCAGACACACAGCTCAGAATTCCTTACTGCTCCAGAGAGGGAACTTCTCTGCTATACAAAAATTCCAGGCGCTGGTTAAAATTTATTTGCAATAGTAGCTGGATCCCGTTTCTCCTCTGTCATGGTACATATTTTCACTTGAGGCAGTTAAAACATTACTGGGTGCAAACCCCGCAACGTGCGGACAGAAGTTATTTTCACTAAATTTTAGTTGTTTCAGTATTGAAAAAAACAATGTAATTTTTCCCCTCTTTTCCCTCTGCTTTTCAGGAATGGTGGTCAGCACCACTTGATGCTGTTTTGCCTTCCACACAAAGGAAACAAACCAACAGATTTCATTTCACTTGACAGAAAATGGAGCAAGGCAAAACTTTGCGTTCCAGCCTTCAAAGTTATTTTCTATAGATGAAAACTTGAGACAGAGATCAGTGGTTAACACAAACATGATTAATTGCAAATATTCCCAAAAATAAGCTAAACAAGCAAATTTGTGATGCCTTATGCATCTTGGGAATCTGAAAAAGCAGATTTTGGATGGCAGGAACAACTTAAATAAACAAACAAAATCTCCTAATGGATATGATCAAATTTAGCCAGTTGACTAAAATACACTTTTAATGAGATAGGGGTCACAAATTGGTCAAAAATCTTTATAATTTCAAAGGCAGGCAATTGGATTTACACTGAACACACAGGGTGCTGAGGACACAGTAACTCCCCCAGTTCCAAAGTTCAGTTGATTTGTGCAGAAGTATCTGAAAAACAGAGGCGAGGCTTGCCCAGCTCACTGTGTGACACTGGCACCACTGAACTTCTATGGCACCTTTAATATGATTTTATTGGGCCATCAACAAGAAAATACAAACACATCTCCTTATTGACATTAAGATAATAAATAAAAGCCTCGTTAGGGCTTGGAGAAATAAGTGTGTTCTTGAGGAGGGCTGAGAAGCCAAGATTCGCTGAAGTCAGTGGGAGTTTGGAGTTACTACTAGAGAGGAATGGATTTTTAAATGCCAAAATTGATAGGAACAAACTTCTGCATCTAATTCTAATTGAGTTAGAAATAATGCAGAATATGCAACAACTTGTCTGTTGTTTTCATCCTCCTCCATGTATTTTGCATTGTTCAGTCCCCCCTAATCGACCCTGGTCCCTGTCCCACAGACAGCCAGACACGCTCCCATCCTCGGGGTGAATCACACTCCAGTGATTTCAAGACTTTCAGCATCACTTGCACTGGCTGCTTGGGAATGTCATCATTTAGATCCCAAGATTTGCTGTATTTCAGCTAAAACAGCAAAAATACTATCGAGAAACCACAATGTGTTTGCAGGGATAGGGCCCACTCTGCTTAAAATTCAGCAGCTGAGAAGAGGAAACTTTAAGAAGTTAAACACAACTTTGATACCTGTTGTCCAAATTTAAAAATAATGTGTATCCTTCAAATATTGACTTTCGCCCACTGCCTCTGGGATAACAGATGAACGTGTTCATAAGCATTATTCTCTCCTTCTCCCCTTCCACCTCTTACTTGTAAAAGATTAATCAACCATTTTATGGTCTAATTTAGGTGCCTAATTAAAAACAGAGTTCAACACGTACAACACCATTTTGCTAATAAATCCTGACAGGTCTTCTGGTCTGTTATATGCAAGTTCTCCTTCAAAACGCGAGATTATTACTTTTTTAAACCCAACTGGATTTATAAAGGTTTCATCTGGGTCGCTGTGGGACGACACGCTGCATCCTCCACCAAACTGACAGAATTTCCTAAAACGAAAACAGCTTTCAAAAATGACTTCCTCCTCGCCAGATCTTATCCCGCGCTCATTTCACTAACTGCTGAGGGATGGCAACATTGAAAAAAGAGACATAAAGCTAATCGGACTTGCCGGGTGGGAGTTTCAAGACTACAAAGAGGTTACAATTCGCAACTTCACAGCTCCCATCTGGCTTCAAAGTTTCCATCTCTGCTCCTTTAGCATTCCTGTAAACACTCAGTAGAAAGACATATTCAAAATATTCCTGATAAAGGAACTTCAATCGGAAAGGGGATGAAAGGACACCGAAACGCGGCTCGCCCCGCGCTCGGTGTCCGACAGCGCTTCTGCTCCGCACCCACCGCCTCCCGCTCCGCCGAGCCCACCGGCACACGGACACCCCGCACGGGGCTGCTCCTCGCGAAACCGCTCGGAATGGCATCCATCCTTGCAGGATGAGAGCCAGGAATTTATAATTTTCTCCCAGTCCAAAGGGTTCAGCCCGTCCCCGACGCGCCCGTTCCTCCCCGTACCCGCAGCCCCCCGCGCCGGGCGGGCGATCGCGACCCCGGGGGATCGATCCAGAGAATGATTGCGGGGTAGGAGAAAGTTAACGGGGATGGAGAGCGGGGAGGGAGCGAGGAAGTTTTATCTGGAACGCGGAGCTGCCGCCTGCCAGTCGCGGCTGCGGCTGCGCTCCCGGGAAGGGTCAAAAACCCTCCAAATGCCTTAAAAAATCCCCAAGTGTGTCAATGCCCGCCAAACTGGTAAAAAAAACAAACAAACAAACAAACAACAAAACAATCGAAACAACAAAAACAAAAAAAACCCCAAATAGGTCAACCTCCACCCCAACGGGTAAAAAAAACCCCAAACGGGTCAACCCCCCCCCCAAATCTGCGGTCGCCCTCCGGCCCGTGCCGGCGCGGGGGACACACCACTCATCCCTCAGCAACACCCCGAGCTGGAGGAAGAAGAACCGCTCCAGCAAAAGCCCTGGAAGCACGGCGGAATAAGAGCGTTTAAGAATATTAAATTGATATTTAACCTTCATATAAGAATCAAACACGGTTTGGCTCGCTTCAAGCCCGCCGCCGCCTGGGCTAACGGGGAGCGCAAGCTGCGCGCTGGGTTGATGATATTTTTGAGGGGTTGTTATTTTCGGGGGGGTGGGCATTGAGAGGACTCGGCCCCGGGCGCTCCCCGAGCTGCTCCGGAGCCCGCAGTCCCGCACCGGGGCGGCCGGGGGGGGACAGGGGGACCCCCCGCACCCCCGTCCCGTACCTGTACCAGGCGAGTCCCCGCTCGTAGTTGCGGTCGAAGAAGTGGGGCTCTGCGCCCACGGCGCGCACGTCGGGGTGCACCCGCAGGAACTCCAGCAGCGCCCGCGTCCCCCCTTTCTTGACGCCGATGATGATGGCCTGCGGCAGCCGCTTGGTGCCGGAGCCGTTGAAGAAGCTGGAGATGGGGCTGGCGGCGTCGGGCGCTGCCCGCTGCTCCTCCAGGCTGCTCTCCTCGCCCGGCTCCCCCGGCGGGGCGGCGCGGGGCGGCGCGGGAGAGCCGCGGGCAACCAGCCCGGCGCAGGAGCCGGCGCACGAGTAGAACATGTAGAGCCAGAGGAAGAGCATGATGAAGAGCAGCAGCAGCCTCCGCCTCAGCGGCGGCAGCGCGACGGGGACATCGAGGCAGCGGTTCAGGCGCTGCCCCATGTGCCCGCGGGCGCGCCGGGATGCATGGCTGGAGCCCGGCCGGCTCGGCTCGGCTCTGCCCGGCGCCTCATGGGCACCCGCGGGGGCTCAGCACGGCCCCATCGGTCCCTCGCCGTGTGCCCGGCGCTGCCGCCCGCCCAGCGCCGCTCCCGCCGCCGGCAGCGCAGCAAAGGCAGCGGCGGGGAGGGACACGGCAGCGGGGACGGGCGGAGCCCGCAGCCTATCACAGACACACGCCGGTGCATAATGAGACGGGGAGGGGAGAAGCAGGAGGAGGGATGAACTCATTGGCTGGTGGCGCGGGGAGGGATCGCACCGTCGGGGCGGTTCGGTCGCTCCGTCCCGGAGCTGCCGCCGGGTCCGCGCGGGGTGAATCCCGCCGAGGGCTGTGCGCTGTACATTTACATTCCCCGCTCTCTGTCCCCCCAGGGCTGCAGGGAATCGCCAGCTGGGGCGTCACGGTGTTGGCGGCGACTCAGTCACTTTTTCCTCCTCCTTATTCCCAATATACTTGGATAATAAGGTCGCCGGGGAGACCCCGTTGCCGTCTTTCAGCACCTAAAAGGGGGTTATAAGGCAGGTGGGGGAAAACTTCTTGGCAGAGACAAGGGATAACATTTTTAAACTGATAGAGGGCAGAACAGGTATCAGGAAGAAATTTTTACAATGAGGTGCTCGAACATTGCCCAGAGAAGCTGTGGATGTTTTCAGAGCCAGGCTGGAAAGGGCACGGGGTAACCTGGTTTAGTTGAAGGTGTCCCTGCCCACGGCAAGGGATTGCCATTGATGGCATTTGAGGTCCCTCCCAACCCAAACCATTCTGTGATTCAGTGTTTTGCCCACTCTTTTGATGAGTTGCTTTTTCAAGGAGGGGAAATAAAGATTGAGGGGAAATAAAGGGAAATAAGGTAAATAAGACCCTGAGAAGTGTATGACTTCTCTAAAAGCTGCTCAGTGGGTTAACACAGAGCTTGGGCCATCAGCTCTGGTGTCGCTGTCCCCCATCCTTCCCAGGACCAGATATTTGCAAAGCAGATTTTTGGGATGACGCAAGGAGAACTTTCGTACTTCAGCTGCAGAGTCAACAGCAAACGATTCCAAAGAATCTCTCTGCTGTGAGAGAAAATAGACAGCACTGCTGGGCTCTCTGTGGTGTGAAGGGTGATCCCAACCAAGCAGAGCCGAAGTGCAGTGGCAGGAGGAATTGCTTCCCAGTTTCCCTGTGTGTGCTGGCAGAGCTGTGCCAGCTGGCCCAGACGGGTAATTGTGAAGGGAATTAAAGAGGACAGTTCCAGGCAGTGCATGAATCACAGCTGTGGGCAGCAACCCTTCCACGGGTGACACAGGCTGCCTCTCCTGCCCCCAGGTTTCCTCACCTCTGCACTCGGTGTTTTGTGCAATTCCAAACACAAGACCTGAGGCTTCCACGCACAGGTTGCTCCACTGCACATTCCTACGCCCATGAGCAAAGAGGGAAACCCTTCAGATGGAATAATTCTCCTTGTTCCTTACATCCACCAGCACCAGCCAGGGTAACATCAACAAAATGTCACGGAAAGTTTGGTTTAAGCCTTTAATATATGTCAGCTGTAGCTTGTAAAAGTTGGATTGGCTTTTTAAGAAAAATAGCCCCAAGATAGGTTTTACTGTAATTGTATCTTCAACAGTTGGACGTCAGGAGTTTTTTCCCCAGGAAAGGCAAGTCAGTGATCAGAAACAGCATCCAAGGAAAGGTAGATCAGGAGGAGGGCTGAGCTCAGCCTGGAGCAGGGGGTGTGGGTGAGGGAGGTTTTGACAAGCAGGTTGGGAACCAGTTGTGGTTCCATCCTCCAGACTGACCTGCTGCCTCCAGCTGTGGGTGAGTGACCCACAGGCTGCTGGGTAGGACACAGGTCTCCTCTGTACCTGCTGCCACACTGAGAGCAGGGTTCCAGCCAGCCTCAGCACACATTCTTGGCTCCTGAAATTCATTTAACATCCCACATCAGCAGTTGTGGCAGGAGAACATGTGCATAAACCTCCTGAAGAAACAGGGGTAGAAGGGAAGGGGAACAGAAATGCACAGCTGGGTTTGCTCTGTGCCCTGCAATCACAAGAGTGACTGTCCTGCTGGCTGGCTGGTTAATCAATAACTAATTGAGCTGCATCGGTACAGTCTCCAGATCCTATTTCTTGATGACTGATTGACTGATTGATTACACAGGTAGCACTGGGAAAGTGCAGCTCCTGACAAAGGGTCATGGTGGCACTTAGTGGAGTACTGCTGAGATGGGCCTGGAGGGTGCCCAGCTCTGCAAAACACACTTGTTCAATCAGGGCAGAAAGCAGAGAACCCAGAACACCTTCAGTCAGAGATGATGGTTGCCAGAGAAGCTGTGGCTGCCCCATCCCTGCAAGTGTCCAAGGCTGGGTTGGATGAGACTTGCAGCAACCTGGGACAGTGGAAGGTGTCCCTGCCCATGGCAGGGGTTGGGATGAGATGAGCTTTGAGGTCCCTTCCAACCCAAACCATTCAGTGATTCTGTGATCAAATCCCCAGCGAGACAGAGGAAGGGTCAGCTCTGTGGGCTCACCTCACCAACCCCCACCCTTGCAGCCATGTGCTTTCCAGTATTTTTTGGAGTTGGACACGAGGCAGCAGCTCCCAGTGCTGATTCTGTCCTGCTGGCCTGATGCTGAGTTCTGCCTTGCTGTTTTTTCTCTTCCCAGCTATAAAATCCATATGTTTGAAGGACAAAGATTTCACACACAGCTCTTCAAAGATCTGCAGGAACCTGTCCTGCTGGGGCGACAAATAGGAGCAGGTATCCAAAAATCAAGCCAGGGTGCTGTTGGTCCCAATCCAGACAGGATGCAGTTTTCTTACCATGATCATAGCTGTGTTTGAAGAAAAGTAATTTCCCATTTCATGGTGTTAATCAAGTGCTTGATCATGGGAAAAGGAGGCAATCTGGAGTGTGTAACCCTGCAGTGACCTGGCCAGAGAGGAGGTGACCAGCCAACACCACCCCCTTTTGGGGAACATACAGCACCCAGCACACTGAGATGTAGGGCTTTGGTGTGGGGCTTCTGGATGTTTTCACGTGTCCTCTTCCATCCACATGTATCTATAATGGGGTTTTGTCCTTATTGCAGCACCCTGAGATGAGTCCCAGCACCCTGAGTCCATGTCCCAGCCCTTGCCCCCTTGCAGGGTCCCATGGAGAGAGGTCCTGCACTTCTTTATTCCACTTCTTCTCCCCTAAGAAGTCCTTGGTGCTGTCCCCTCCCCTCCCCTCTGCCATGAATGCCCTTTACAGTGCACCCCGTGCTACTCCAGAGTAGAGGGGAGCTGAGGATTGTTGATGGATAAATCTGGTGTGTCTGTCAGCAGCCTCCTCTCCATCCCTGCCCACATCTGCTGGACTCATATTGATGCCACGACAGTGAGGTGAGAGCTGAGGGGGAAAGAGCCCAGGGTATTTGGGATTTTGTCCTGAAGAACACATGTATGTTAGCCCACGGAGGCACAGCTTGCAGGGAGTGTTCTGTGGGTCAGGACTGCTGGACCAGCAGCCAGTGATCATCCCAAATAGTGGGGCTGGGCCACCCCGGGGGTGACAGGCCCTGGACTCCAAACAACCCAGCCACAGGCAAGACAAGTGCCCAGGGTTTTATGCAACCCCTTTGCACCCAAGCCCAAGTGCCACATACTGCCCTAGAGCCCTCAAGAGGCTCTGTAACCCCACCAGCACCCAGGGACACCCCAGGGTCACCCCAGGCACATCATTGCCTCCTGCAGTGTCCTGGTGCTGCGTCCCAGGCGTGCTCCCTCCGGGGCCCTGGGCAGCACCACTGTACAGATGTAAGAGGAGATCTTGTTTCTCTCAACCTGAAACCATTTCCTTTCCCCCACTGCCCTCCCTCCCCTCGCTCCCTAATTCGTCCCTGGGGTTTTAATATCTATTTCTCCAAGTGCCACGGGCCAAATTTACTGCTCACATAACTGCCCCGACTTCAATGGAGAAGAGCGTTTAGGGTGCTCCGAGGAGGCGTAAGTAGGAGTGATGTGATGGAATTGAGTAAAGGAAAATATAGTCTGACTGTCAAGAAGAGTTTCCTACCAGTGAAATCTATAGACTGTGGAAGTTTCCCATGGGAACAAGCAGAAACCAAGTTGCTGAAGTCATTTTAAACCAGCACAAGAGAATAGGAAATCAGGCCAGTGACTGGCCAGAAGGAAAGGAGAGATGACATAATGCTACTTCTCCTTCTCTAATTTCTGTGGCTGCATTGCTTTGTCCGTGGAATTATTTTAACGCAACTGGATTTCTCCTTGTGTTCTGGGTGATGTGAAGGCTCTTGCTGCTTCTGGAGAGGTTTCAATTCCTCTGCTAAATTCTGTCCTGGATTAAAGCAATGCCCACTGCAGCCCCTGTTGGCTCTGCTTTTATTCCTGCTGCTTGCAAACCTCTTCTGGGATCTTGTCAGGTTTCTTCCCTGACTTACCTGAGCCTCTGGATCCAGTTCTCTGTTTATTGGGTTGTGCAGAATGGATCAACCCCTGGGAATAGTGTCAGGGCTCCCCAGGCCAACAATGCCATGTGGGGCTGTGGAAGGTACCAGACATAGAGCTGTAACCCATTAGAGAGCCCAAGGATGGAAATCTCCTTGCTTTCAGGGATCCTTCAGCTAGATTCCTGCTAAATCATCTGCTGGAAAATCACAAAGGAATGATTTTCATCATTATATACATTTCCATCATTATATATTTCCATCATAAAGGAATTATTTTCATCAAGGCCCACAGGGAAACGTTGCTTTCCCTGGTGACTCCTGGCTCTGGTGACTCCTGCCTGCCCTATCTGGGCTCTGTGGATGACACCAGGGCTGCAGATGCAGTGGCTGTGCCCTGCTACCACCCAGTGGCTTTGGCAACCTCTTGCCCATGGAACTTCCTAATGTACTTTCGAATGACTTAACATTCGCTCACCGTCTCAGCATTAGCAACTTACAGCTCGCTGGGAGCAACCTCCTACCTCGCACAGTTCCCAGATAATTACAGATTAGAACCGGCTAATTTTTATTTTTGTAAAGCTGTCAGAGATCTATGTTTGTTAT